CTAGCGCCAGCAGCGCGGCCCCCTCAGCCCTACGCGGCCTCCGCCCACCTCGCGTTGTGTTTGCACTGTAGCTTGATGCGGAGGCCAGCGGGGCGGCCCGGGCTGTGTCCCGGCCCTGCAAGTTGGGGGAGGGCAAGGTGGCGGCCCAGGGCCCAGTCGTTGCCGTTTAAAGCTGCTGCTGGGGAGCCGCTTTAAGGGCAACGGCCGCGGGTAGCGGCACCGCACCTCGGTACTGGTGGTAGCGGCGTGCGTTTAATCCTGGCTTCGAGTTTCAGTGTCCGGTGGCAGAGCGGCAAGAGGAACGCCTGGGGCTCGGGGCGCTGCCCGGCTCGGAGCTGGCGTTCCCGGAGGGCAGCGGCCTCGGGGCGAGAGCAGTGCTGCACGAATGTACGGTGTGAGCAAAGGGAGGCCGTGTGTACGCGGAGCATAAAACAGTGATGTTGACACGGTGAATATTTAGATTTACAAGCAGGAAACTGCATCTCTTAATCTTCCCCTGGTAGGCCCCCCACAGCTATGACAGGTTAAATTTTCGTGGAGGAACGGTGATTTTTGAGTTGATGTTACGAAGCTGCACAGTGTGTGGTTTCCATTCCGAACATGAGGCTACTTGCAAAACCAAGTCTCGTTGATGCGTTAAAAGTTTCCAGCACTAGTAGTGAGAAATTCGCTGTGCAGACAGTTAGAACTGACCTTTTTATTGGTAATTCAGTATCCTCACTGTTAAATGCAGGGTTAATGTTATAAAGGAAAAAGATGAGGGTCACCTGGTATCTTGTTACTTGGTTTTAGGGGTTTCAGAAGAGGTTTCAGGGCCAAGCCTCTTATGTTTTATTTACTTTTGTAAAAGTAATGTTTTCGACTCTTGTGGATCACGTTAACATCTGAAATCCACATCCTTCATAGATTATTTCATTTTCACAGAACATCTGCATGAGCCTGTTCCTAATTATATCTTAATTTTAAGGGAAAGTGGATGGCTGTGTGAGAACTGGATGCTCAGAAGATTCCCAACCATAGCTGAGGATTACAGCATGTCTAAAGAAATGCAAGAGCTGCAGAAGGAATGGCACTCCATTATGCAGTCCATCCACAGCAACTCAAATGTGGGTCTGGATTATAATTTTTACATAATAATGCTCAGAATATCACAGCCCAATTTATTGAAATGCTATTTCAAAACTTTTTTTTTTTGAGAAAATTTGCGCTCTCTTTTTTAAGTGAATGCTGAACAGCCTATGGGAAGGGCTGTGCTCCCATGCCTTTAGCAATCAAGAGAAAGGAAAGCCTGTTCTGCATTTCTGTGTTTTACTGGTATAACCATTTGAGATAGTAGAGTAGCATTATTAATGAAAGGGCTGTGTTGCTATAAAAAGAACTAAAACTACAATACGTATTTTCTTAAGTGGAGGAAAATGTGACTACTACAGTAAAATTCAGTGTGTAGCTATGACTGCCTCTGTAAAAAGGATTTTTTTCTCTACCAGTAACATTATAATTCAATTCCTAACAGCTTCGTGATGCAGACATGCCTGCACTGTACTTATGCTCAATAAATGAGCAGGTTGCAGATATTACTGAGGAAGAAGGAAAAAACATAATTTTAAAATGTTACAGTATTTTTTTCTTAACAAATACAATTCTGTAGATCAAAATCGTAGATGTTGAGACCTCACTGAAAGCTGCACAGCTAAACAGTGATTTTTTTTTTAGTTGTTTTGGGTTTTTTTTTTATTTGTGCAAGAATAAAACTGGGAAGTCCAAGAGAAACCTGTCTCGTTGAAAAAATTATGTTTGCTATATGCTTCTGAAGTATAAAGGAAAAAGCTGCCCTCTGTTCAAGCTGCAGACTTACAGAAAGATACTGCCTGTAGTTCCCTGAAGTAGCAGTGACCTTCAAAACTCATCTATGATATGAGATCAAAACAAAACCTGAAATGTTTTTCTTTCATCCACAGGTTGTTGCATTTATGAATTCTCGTCTTGGACAATATTTAGATGACCATCCTTTTGTTGCCTTGTCACTCCTGGTGTTTATTGCAGTGTCTGCTATTCCTGTTGCATTTTTCCTGATTTTTGTTGTTATAACAGCCATAATGGCCTGTATTGGTGTGATAGTCGTGGAAGGTACTGTATGCATGCAGCTATGTACTTACTTACTCCCTTTTAAGGCATAATGTCTTTTCTTTTTTTCTTCTTCCTTCTGGAGTTGAGGATTTCTCTATGTAGTCCTCAGGTCTCAGCAGTAGTGAAACTCTTAAGAACAGTAATCTGATTAACTGTAGTCTATACAGCAAAAATCCTCTTTCTCTTTCTAATCTCAGCCACCAGGATATCCCTAAACCAGTTATCTTGACCACACATAGCTTTTATAGAGGCTAGCTAGTTAATTGCAGAAGACTGTATTCCAAAACGGTTTGAATCTGGGGTTGTGGTAGAATGTAAACTCTTCTAAAATTCTTGCTTATAAACTTGTTTAAATAACAAACTTACTTTCTTTTATTAGGTGTTGTAATCGCCATAGGTGGCATGTCGCTCCTTTGTGTGCTGTGTGGCCTGGGTGCACTTTCAGTGGGAGTTTCTGGAGTACTGAGTATTTGTTATGTTGTTCTTTCAACTCTGATGAACTACTGGTATGCTTCAAGGTGAGTATTAATGTCTTGATGCTTGGATTCAAAACTATTCTATTGCATTGATAACCTCATTTATTCTAAGTGAGTCACTGTTGCTTAGTTTAGCAAATGTTGCTTGAATGTTGGAGCATCTTTGGCTACTCTGGTGGCTTAATGTGCAGCACAGAAATGTCTAGTCATCAATATATATTTTAATAAGAGTTAATACATGCTCTCTTTGCTATTTAGGAAGGACGAAATGTAAATTGTCTTTAAATGTGCATGTGTTAACACAACATGACATCAAACAATAAAATACGACATTGTCTCACTCAGAATATTTGTTGTTTTAAATGTAATTAAAACACACTTCCAAATTGGACTTTGCCTAGAGAATGAACTTTTTGCAGTTCTTTCTGCACGATGACGCACCTAGCTCAGCTTACCTGCATTTGTAGAATAACGGACCAAAATTCATTGTAGATTTGAGATGGGCAGAGAGGGACCTAAAAGGAACAGTGCGGACAAAATAGAAATTACAGGTTTTGCTGGAAGTTATATGTGCTGCTTGCCAGTCACGTCTCCCCATACTTCAGGATCAGAAGCCTGTTCCAGTCAGCATTGCCTTAGCCATGCTGTTACCAAGCGTCTGGCCAGGAGTAAGGCAGCAGCAGCTTGTGCTGGAGCGCCACCTATTGCCCCTGAAGTGCCTCCCAGAGAATGGATAATGATGATCACTTCTGAAGCACAGGGGAGAGCAAGAAGAAAAATTGCAGCTGCTCCCTCCTAGACTTTCTCAGTTTGCACCTTCATCACAGCTGTGCAGCTCTCAAGGACACAGACTGCCTGTGGAGCCCATGATGTCATTAGGAGGGCAAGACCGTGGTGCAAGGCCTACTGTGCTTGCATGTGTTTCAGTGCTCTGCACCACTCCTCCAGGGTGTGCTGCCAGGTCCATAACATTGCCCACCATTTCCAGATGAGACTTCCTGTTTTCTGTAGCATATCTGAATATGCAGCCCAACCTACAGACCAATCATATCAACGTAGAGCTTTGATGTTAAAACAAGTGACATCTGCTCTTATATTCCTGTGTCTTTTGAGAGAAGCTCTGGTAGACAGGCAGTGGACATTTCAGGAATGTTAGGCTTACATCTCCCATTGCTTAGCTTTTTTGAACAAAAATATAAAAGACAATAATCTTACGCAAGAACAAACTGTAAAACCATTATTTTCTTCTGTATACAGGAGTCAGATAAGGAAGGAAGAAGTTAATGGAAGTTTGCCGCAGAATAGTCCTCCTGTCTTGAATCTTTCTGCCAGTAATGGAAAGAATGAGTGAGTTGCTCCCCACTTCCTTCATAGCCACTTAACTGTACTATTCTAAACTTTGCAATGGAGTTGTTTACTCATTGAGTGTTCAACTTCTGTGTACTCCTTGTGGGAACTGAAATAAAAATAATAAGCATCTTACATTGCACTGTAAAACTGATATAAGAGTAACCATTAAGCAGCAATGCATTGTGATGTTAAGTCTATGTGCATGGTGGAATGTTCCAAGAATTTGGTAAAGGCATGTAATAATAACAGCTACTGTTTAATCAGTGACAATTAGGTGAAAGAAAGGCTAGGTAGGTATTTCTCTTCCCATTTGTTACTGGAGTTGTAGCTGTACTATCTTTTGAAGTTTATGTGCAGCAGTTGGTCATTTTGATACATAAGTGTCAAAGCTCAGAACACCAGAAATGTGTTTTGAATGTTTAAAAAATACTTTTAACTCTTAACAGCCTTTGTTAAAATACTACAAGTACTCCGTGCTAAAGCTTTATATTTATTATATGAGGAAAAAATGGGGTTTATCCTATGTTTAATCATGGTATAAGCTTTTATATATCTTTAGATGTTGCATTATTCTGAAGGGATATTTTCCTTGTTCTCTGCCTCATCACATCATGATATGGAGTTAGGTCTTGCATTTTGTCATATTTGTTTAGGTACTTAAATTGCCTGTTTTGCTTCTCACTTGTAACTTCTTGTATGTTATTTAAACTTTTTTCATTTTTGCAAATGCTATATTTTTAAGCATTAAGAAAGTATCTAACTATATTAGTTTAATAAAGTGCTGTTTGTTTAACCATGTTGTCTTGTTACTCTGTTTATTCTACAGTAAAAACAAGTTTTCCAGATGACTTCTAGATTTTTTTTAACTTCCAGTTGATAGTAGGGTACAAGTGGTGAGAGGGAAAAAAAATCCCAAGAAAAAGGAAAAATACTTTCTCTATGTTCCCTATAAGAATATCTGGTGCTGGGACACTGTTCACATGACACACAGCCTGAAGGAATTAATCTAAAAGATGGAACAAAGATTTAACATGAATATATGTACATAGTTTTTTTGCAGTGCTATTATTTCTAGTTTGGGATCAATCTGCAGCTGCTCTTGATTACAGCAGAGTTCTGCCAGTTTACAGCAGGTGAGGACCAGTGGGGGAAAACATTAGAGTGCTGTTCTTAACACTTGTGTAGTGATGCACATCACAGCTGTAGGTAGTACAACCTAAAAGCAAATTCCCAGTGCATACACTGATTGCAAAAAAAGGAAAGATACTGGTGTCTGCATGTGAAGAGACTCCAATAGGTAGCATGCTGGGGGCACTGAGGTGAAATAGGCGTTTTGCACTGGCTGATAAATAGAATACATTATACCTTGTGCAGGTGGACTGATGCCTGCTTTTTAAGAGCTGTGAAATACTGAAATAACTATTTTTAAGTGCTAGAACTCCCTATGGCTAGCAAAATGTGAGCCTTGAAATAGCATTCTAGTAATTACAGAATCTTTTTCTGTCTTTCACCAGACTACTGGCCCAATTTTACTTTTATCTGGGCAATAAATGCCTTCAATCTAGGAGTTTAGTCTGCTCTTAGCAACCAGTAATGGTTATAAGGGGAAAAAAGGCAGAGATTAGTGTGACTTGATGATAATGCAATCACCACCTCACCTTTGTTTCCACTGTTTTGCCTTTTTTATCTGCCAAACTGCTGTAATTTCAAATACACTTTGAAAATAAACCCTACATTTATCTCCTTTTCTATCAGTCTGCCTAAAATGAAACATATATAACTCTATTACTGTGCTCGAGACCTCAAAATTAATCGAAATGGAGAAAACACTTCACAGAAGGGAAATATTGATGCTGTTTATCATCTGTGCTGCAACTTATCAGGTACAGCCAGAAAATAGTAGCTTTCTGCATATTTACACAGCTTCTATCTTTCCACTTTTAGGATGATTTTGCTTCAGAATCTAAAGAGAACAACCTCAATCTGTACAAATCTTGCTGCAAACATGACACTAGGTTAGCATGCAGGTTCTTTGCAGAATTATATTAACATATTTATACTCAATTAGACCCTAAAAATGTACTCATAGTGCTGGCTACTCATCATTGTGTGTAAAGGATTTTGTTTACTTCCAGGTCCCATTGGCCTCTCCAGAGCACAAGTTCATTAGTTAGTCCATAAGTGGACCTCAATCACTGCCTCTGGTGCCAAAATGAAATTCTGTTCTCTGTGAGCATATTCCCAGCGCTCTGCTGCCAGCCTGGTGACAGGCACTGCCTTATTACATCCTGGCATCACTTTTACCTGGTGTTGGCGCAAGGAGCAGAGGAGCTGCTTTTTAACCCACGTTAACTGCCTCTGCTGATGCTTAGAGCAGTGGTTTTCTGAGCAGCCTCACAAATCTCCCAAGGAATCTGCAGCTTCTATTCTTTCAACATGAAACACTAACACTTTCAAGCTGCTGATGGGGACCAATTTTTTCCCGAAGGATGGATTTTAAAACAAATAACACAGAAAGCTTGAACAGCTGCATCCGTAACAGCTCCAAGGCTGTTCAAAACTTTTCTCTGCCTGGTAAGTACAATAAACAGGTAAATGAAAATATACACTAGTATATAAACTATAATAGGCATATGCAGCAGGAGAAGAAAAAAAATTACATCTATGAGGTGGTTTTGAAGAAAGCCTGAATATTAATGTATGTACACTTGAGCAATGTATGTATCTGAGATAATATATCTTTTGAAACAGATTTATTATATATGTATGCGTTTGAAAGGGTCTACATGCACATATATGGAATTATACTAGTGCTCTTTCATTCTGTTATTTCTATGTGTCTGTGTTCATACATATGAAGGGAAGCATAGGTGTATGCACATTTGGTTAGATGCAAGTTACAATGTATACATTTGTGAAAGCTACTAAGAAAGTGCCTGTGTGTGGTTAAACACAGCCACACACACAAAGCACTTCCTCATCTTACATGTGCCTAAGAAACACGTTGTTTGCATTCAGAGAACTAATTTTCTGTTAGAATCCAGAATACCCACAAGTCATGGTGGTCCTGGCATAGCTGACTTTTTCCTGCCTACACTTGTCTCTGCAGGTGGCCCCAGCAAGATGAGCTATGGCAGCTTCATCATGCCCACCCTCTTTGGCATTATCTGCCTGTTGGGCATTATTGGCAACAGCCTGGTTATCTGCAAAGTCCTAAAGAAATCTGGCCCTAGCAGTAGTGTCCCAGATATCTTCATCATCAGCCTCTCCATGGTGGACCTGCTCTTCCTCCTGGGCTTGCCCTTCTTCATCCACCAGCTGCTGGAGAATGGAGCCTGGCACTTTGGGGAGATGATGTGTACAATCATCACCGCCCTGGATGCCAACAGCCAGTTCACCAGCACCTACATCCTTACTGCTATGTCCATTGACCACTACCTGGCCACCATCTACCCCTTCACCTCCACTCGCTTCAGGAAGCCCCCTGTGACAATCCTTGTAATTTGTGTGCTCTGGGCCCTTTCTTTCCTCAGCATTACACCTGTGTGGATGTACAGTCAGCTCATCCCTTTGCCTGGAGGCCTACAAGGCTATGGGATTCATTTGCCAGACCTGCAGAGGGACATTTACTGGTACACTCTCTACCAGTTCTTCCTGGTCTTTGCCATCCCTTTTGCCCTCATCACTGTGGCTTACTGAAGGATCCTGTTCAAGATGGTCAAGTCCTCAGAAGCATTGATGAGCCAAAGATGCAGAGGGGCTCAAACCAAGAGACAGACCTGTACGGCAGTTGCTATTTGTGTGGCCATCTTTGTTTGCTGGGCACCTTTTCACATCCTGCAGCTGGCCCAGCTCAGCATGACTCACCCCACCCTGCCTTTCTACTACACCTACAATGTGGCTATCAGCCTGGGTTTGAACCCTTTTACCTATATCTTACTGGGCCAAAATTTCCAGAGGTGGTTTGGGGTGCCTGTAAGGCCAGCAGCTGCAGGGCAGGCTTCCTCTAACAGGAGCAAAAGCATTCAGGGCAATGAGATTGAGTCAGGGCAGCCACTGCCACATTTGGTGTCTGTCTCTAGCAGGTAGCAATACCTACAGGAATTGGGGCATCCCCATAAGCCAGCCCCTCTCCTCTGCTCACCAAAGACATGGGCAGCAGTGGGCAGGTGAGTGCCACCTGTGGGGTGGATCTTTGCTGGGCCTGGAGACAAAGCTGTGGCAGCATTTGGGCAGAAGCTTTGTTTGGCATTGTGTTCCCATTTACATCTTCCCTGAAAGTTATGAAATACATTCTCCCCAAGAAATGAAAAGCTTTCAGACCTTTTATTGGATTACCCTGCAGTGAGCTGAAAACAAGAAACTGTCTCAGCAGATGAATGCCAAGTGAAGTTTTTGTTGTCTACCTCAGCTTTTATAGCTACAGAGAAGGACCCAACTATGCAGCCAATCAGGATGTTTACATACAACAGCACTTTCCCATCCATCATTCCCATACTTTATGGCCAGGTGTTCCAAGACCGAGATACCCTGTCACACACCACGCATACCATTCAACCAGTGTTCTGGTCAAGATAACCCAGGCACACAGTGCCTCACAGTTTTGAACTCCTACTTTTAGGCTGGCCCAAGGTCCTGTTACACTCAACAACAACACAGTTCAATCTTCCAAAGATTGCCTTTGTATAAATCCCAGCTGCTGTTTGTGTTCTCTGAATAATGTTCTCATGGGAATCCCAGCTTCTGCAGTGCCTTGGTTTGCAGCCTGTTGATGCTTCTCCGCATTACCCCACGTACTAAAACTCTGTTGGTGCAAAACCCCAGACCAGCAGCAACGTACAGTCCGGGGCTGAGACACTGCCACCATCTGAAACTTGAGGAGTTGCAAGTTTAGTTCTTGATTTAAGCTCACCAAGGAGGAAAGAAGGAATTTGGACCCTTCCGGGTCTTTTTTTTTTTTTTATTGAAACATGGTTCAGGAACCTAACACAATTTATAAAGGCTTTAAACAACGTGACAATCATGTTTTCATCTCCTTTCTAACACACCATCCCCATGACACCTTTAACAGTAGGTGAGACATCAATCATTTTCTGTCACTTTAAAGTCAAAGCTACCCATTTTCCAGAATCAGCAATTGTCAAGAAGTCTGATAAATACTATCAGATTTATTTAATATATCAGATATATTTAAAGTAAACAGACTGATTTATTCACAATTACCCTCAGAGACAATTCTGCACCACCTTGATAGGGAACAACAGCAAAGCAAGTTAAACAGTTATTTTGCAGTAGAAAGAAATTACTAGAGTCTACCTACATTACAAAAAAAACCCCAAACAAAAACAAAACACCAATCACCCAAAAAAACCCAAACAAACACTGTGTGCACACATATCAGTGTGGTATTTCTTCAGCTAGCAGACACACTTTAGTAAATACGTATCTTGAAGCACGTTGCTCAGATTTTCAACCTGACGGTAGATGGTTCAGTTTTCATCGGCCCATCTTGAGCAATTTTGAAAGGACTTGACAGTAGAAACGACAAAGAAACTACATTTTCTGACAATCAAACCACTTTGCTGTACATGGCAACCAAAATCACTGGGTTTTACTTCTAAAAAGTTATTGTACTAATATAGCAAGCACCTACACCCAGAAAAATAGCAAAGATTCTACATGTTACAGTTTTAAAGGAACATTTGCACCTTTATGGTAGATAAAATTAAAGCTGCTTGAAACATGCTTTTGTATTTCAAGATATCATAAAGATCAGACCAAGTTCTTTATCAAGAGTACTCATTTGCTGGAACACAGCCTATTTTAATAATTTAAAAGGTACAAACTCATCACTAGCTTGATTTATTCTTACCCAACAAAATAGGAAAACAGCAACACTGCAAGTGAAGAAACATACCTGTGATTATTCATGTGCACTCTGTAATGGAGGGGATCTTTACCTCCACCTCTTTAGATTTCCAAAAGTCATTTATTTTAATGACATACTAATTTCACAAACAACTATGACAAAACCACACAGCGAGCCATCTCTGACACGAGGCTGTCTCCAATAGCTTTTCAGGATGCATTTCCAAAGGCAAAGCAGTAAACCCTTACACCCGTCTCAAGTGACAACACTCAAAAGCTTTAGACCGCAGCTTACATGGATACACAGCTGAAGGGATCTAATCCTTTCCCCTGAATTTCCTTTACACCCTCATGCTTTGCTGAAGGGAGTAGGCATTGCTTAATTAACTCAGCAGACACCGAAACAAGTTAATTTATTCCAGACTCTGGCCCCACATGAACCATTTCCTTCTGCATTTTAAATCAGTTTTTCATTCTATAATATTAGGAGCTAAAGCTGTGAATTCTCAGTTACCAGCAGGTAAACATGGAGCGGTTTCACTCCTGCTGCCCTGGCCTTTGCATATTTATCAGTCACTGTCATTATAAAGCTTCTCACCACATCAATTTAATAAGAGCTCAGTGCTGTGCCATCACCCCATTAGCATGGGTTTGATAAAGATATGCTGAAGAAATAAGACTAAGTCAGCATAGACCAGGTATTTTTACTGTAGTCTGTAAGGCCATCCCCAAATGAGCATGTAGGTTTTTCAGGAGGTTTGGTGGTGGTGGTTTCTGTGGGTTTTATTTTGTATTGTGGGTTACTTTTTTGGTTATTTTAATTAGTAAACAATGCAGCAGAGCTAAGAAGCCCTTAGCAAGGGAGGCTGGGGAGATGCTACCAAGGCTTCATTTCCTCAGCCACTCTTGGCTTCCTGCAGAATGGCACCAGTCCAGCAGAGAAATGGCAGAAACCTTTCCCATCCTGGTGGCACTGTTGCCAGCTGGGTCCCGAGCCGGCCCAGCCTCAAGGACTTAGGTTCACAGGCCCTTACTTCAGACATGAATATGCCTGAGTGGGCAGCCACTCCTGCAGCCCTAATCCCTGCATCCTGGAGGATACAAGACATCCAAAGCCTTTCTAAAGTGATTTAGAGCAACCAGCTTTGCTACAGTTCCTGAAGCAGCTGCTTGATCTGAGCTGCAGAGACCCCCCCAGTGCTGACTCCACATGCAGTAGCTTCATTGACCTATGCCTCCTCTTGCTGCACCATCATTCACACTTCACCCACCCAGGTGTATCAGAAGCAGGACATCAGGCCTGAGCACAGTAAAGGAAGCTCTTATATTTGTAAAGTGAGCTTAAAAATTTCGCAGATAACACTTGAACAGGGGACTGGGAAACACCAGCACTGGTACAGGAAGAGGGAAGGAATGCATATAGCTAGGCTCTAAGGTAAGTTATTTACAAAGTGTGTGGGGGGAAGGTTCATGTTTTCTTTTATTTAAATAAGTTACAGGAGCTTTCATTCAAATTTCCCTGCAACAAGCACAAATAGACCACGACTGAACCTCTCTGGGAGAACAGGAGTTAATCCTAACAAAGTGTAAGGATAGATCTCCCACTTGCCATGGCTGACCATCTTCCCCAAAGCAGTTAATATTAGCCAGTGACTAGAACTAGGCAAGAACAACTTTCCCTGGGACCTGGATGTCTGTTACTATGTGCAGCCTCTTTGTCTCACCTCCCTGACTAGTAAGAAGAGTTCCAAAAGATAAAAGTCAAAGAGCTAAAAGTAAAGCTCTTGCTTTTGCTCTTACTAAAGATAAGTATTTTAAACACCTTCACTACTGCAAATCTCCAGATCCATATATGAAAGGTATGTGAGAATTATTTTTATTTATGGGGCTATTGGCTAGCATTTCTTTTAACAAAGCATTTGCATGTCAGCCAATGTAGTGTTAATTAGTAAATTCCAACCACCCTGCACAGTGGAGCTCCAAACTCCATTCAGCAGCAAGAAACAAGGAAACTCTTCTCTGCCTGAACATACACCAATCTTTTCCCACACTTAGTCATGAGGAGAAAGATTGAGAGAAGGAAATATTAAGAATATCAGCCTTATTTGGCTCTAAAGAGCTAAAAGTCCATAAAGTACAATGTGCTGTCAAGTACAAACTCTTCATCAAGCACCACTTTTCCAGCTTTTACATAAATACTTCATATTCCATCCAAGTGCTAAGTCAACAGGACTTAAGTATAGTAGGTGGTTTGCTGGAAAACAGCTTAAGTAATCATTTCAGCCCTATCAAGCTGATGATAGTAAGAGTGACTTGCAAATAAATGGCTTCAATGTGAAATTCATTGTTTCATTGTAGTTCTATTGACACCATAACTGTGATTAACAGCAGCACAAAATATTCTTAACTACCATTGGTAATGGTAATTAAGTACTGAACAGTACTCCATGCTATTCTTGTATGGAATTTACATTAATATTTACAAAATGTACCTTGAAATATGTTGTATCAAGAATAGCTCATTAATAATACTGATGAAGTGAAGTAGGGGCTGTGGCAGATGAGCCCCCAGCCCTGTGCTATGTATGCATAGCACACTTGACAATCAGCATTAGCAGAGTCTGTCCACTGACTGGATCTGAAGCCTTGCATGGCCAGAGAACATGGGATGGACCCACAATGTTGACTCTTCCTGTTTACACAAAGTTGCCAGACAATGTTTAATCCAAGGCTGTTATACTCATCGTGCAACAGAGTACTTTAATCCCTTTTCATTGTCACATGCAATTGTATTTTTATGCCTCATTTCCTCAACTTTGTAAGGCAGTATGTACAGAATACAAAATAAAAAGCATCATTGCATGACTGAAACTACCTCATTCCAAATGGACTCTGTTACATCTACAGCTACTGCTGTCCCTGTCTGGACTGAAAGATGCAGTTAAGTGACATTTTTAAAACTTATACTGACCTTTTAACAAAACACTCATTACTATACTTCTTGTACTGATGAAGTTCTGAGTGCAGCCACCCTTCATGCCAGGTTACACGAAAAAAGGTCATTGGCTCCAGTCAGGGGACAGTAAAACTAAAAATCAAGGATAGTTTTGTGCCTCAGGCGTGCAGAAAAAAGTCTTTAGTCACTCAGAACTTTAGTTCTACTGGCTGTAGATTAATGATTTCCTGTGTATTTGCTTTGGATGCAATTCCAAACACTTAAG